AGGTCTTCTGCTGGCTGGGTTCGGCGATGCAGGAAGGCGACGCCGAGCTCACGGCAGCGGACGGGCACGAGGGCCCAGGCTTGGGAGCAGTTCGGTGCGATTGGCGCGGCTGCAAGATGCGATGGCGAGCTCACTGCAGTTTCCCCGACTGCCCGCAGCGCACGTGCGGGCGGCACGGGACGTGGCTGGACGTCGACGGCGACACGGTCTGGGCCTGCCAGCGGTGCGCGGGCAGGGGCGACGCGCTCGCGGGCTCCTGGGCCTCAGGGGCCGAGAGCAGTGGCGGATCGGTCGCTGCAGCCGCGGCGCTCATCACGGCGGGCGCGGCGCTGCTGTCCCACAGTCAGGCCAGCGAGGCACCAGCACAGGGGGAAGGAGACGAGGCGAGTGCAGGGCGAGTCGGCAGCGGCGCGCCTGGCGGCGGCCAGCGGGGTAGCCCACCGACGTCGGGGGGTCCTTCTGGGGCCGGTGGCGGGACCCCGCCGCTGCCGCCGCCGCAGCTCCCGCTTTGGTGGGGATTGGACGCCCACGGCTCCCACGACCTGTGGCGGGCTGGTAGCCACCTCTTCTGCGTGAAGTGCGGCTACTGGACGCAGAGCCGCAGGCTGGCGGGCTTGGCAGCGGAGTGCCCGAAGGCCCCCAAGAACGATAGGCAGAAGGCGGTGTTCAGCAGGCTGAAGCGCGGCCTGCAGCCCGCTGGGGCGGGCGGCATCGGCGACCCTGAGCCGCTGCGGCGCATGCGCAGGCGCGTCGATGGTGGCTAGGCTCTTTCTTGCCACGCTTGCCGCCTCGCTCTGTCTGCCATCACGCGAACAGACGTGTGGTTTGCACACGGCTGTTCGGGCTGCCTCTGCAAGGCAGCTATGCTTGTGCAGCCAGTCGGAGGCTGGACCGTGGTGGTAGGTTCGCACACCGCCATGGTTGCCTCCGATCGAGCCAGCATGCTGATCAGCTCGGGCGCAGGCGGGTCCAAGGATCACGAATGCCTGCGCCGAGCCGCTGCCTCTGGGGGGGGAGGGACCCCGTGGCGTAGGCTGTACCCCGTGGGGCTCGGCACACGCCAGGGTTCACTCCCTCCCGCCCTCTTGGGCAACGCCTGTCGCTTGGCGCCTTCGGCGCCTCCGTTTAATGTAGCTGCTGGCGCGCCTTGGGCGCGACAGCCCGCGCAGCTTGCTGCGCTCCAGCCCGCTCTGTGCTCTGTGCGCGCCAGGCGGAGGCCGAACCGTGGTGGTAGGCTATGGCCGACCGTCAGGATCGCCTCCGAAGGTCACCTCAGAGCAAGTCGCCCCGTCTGTGGCCTGGTGCCCAGGGGGCTGTTGCTCTGGTGTGGCGCGCCGAGCTGTCTGCGAGCTGAGTCGCCGTGAGGGCTCAGGTGCTTTGCTGATCGCCTGCCTTTGGCTGGGGCGGTCGGCGGCCTCAAGGCTTTCAGGCGAGTCTGCGAGTGTGCCTTGGGCACGGGTCAGGCCTTGCGTCCGCAGCGCCAGAGGGAAAGGCCATGGCCTCGGGAGGCTGTATCGAGCGGGGAGCTCCAGACCTTCTTGGATGCGTGGATCATCATCATCATCATCATCATCATCATCATCATCATCATCATTATCATCATCACTTTCAGCATCAGCATCAGCATCATCATCATCATCATCATCATCTTCACCATCATCATCATCTTCACCATCATCATCACCACCACCATCATCACCATCGTCATTTTCATCATCACCATCACCATCGTCACCACCATCATCATCACCATCGTCACCACCGTCATCACAAAGCATCATCATCACCATCACCATCACCATCACCATCACCATCACCATCACCATCACCATCAGCATCAGCATCAGCATCAGCATCAGCATCAGCATCAGCATCAGCATCAGCATCAGCATCAGCATCATCATCATCATCATCATCATCATCATCATCATCGCCGTCATTGTTATCATCCTCCGCCCACTCCCCGACATTCTCGCTACTTCCCCATGTATCGCCTCCTCAACCTCCGCCCCATCCTCCGTCTGGTCCTCGTTCGCGTCATCCCAGCCGTAAGCAGCAAGAGCATCAGCAGCACAAGCGTCAACCCCCGCCATCCTCCCGCCTCCTTCACGAAGCATGCCCGTCATCATCGTATTTCTTTCGTTCTTTCGACCGCATACCTTGGTAGTCCCCAAACGTGGTGGTGACAACACCCGGCGGTGAGTCTAGGGCGATTTGGTGTCACCACCCGGTTTGGGGGCCCGTGCGGTTTTTCAAGGATGCCCCGAACGCTGGTGGGTCCAGGAGTCACAACACGGACGGTGACCCCGTGTCCCAAAACCCGGCGGTGCCTTTTTGGGAATTCAAGTCACCACCTGATGTCTCACCACCTGGTTTGGGGGCTCCCAAAAACCACCGCCCCTGCGCCGGCGCGGGCTTCTCCACGAAACGCGAGCCTCGAAGCCCGCCGCAGGCCAGACTGATGGGGTTGTTTGTGGACCCGCCTCCTCGTCTTCCTTCTCCTCCTGTCCCTCCTCGACACAGCCATGCGACAGGATGTGCTCCCAGAGCGCCACACCCATCAGCCGCTCGACCGCCTCCAGCGACGATCGACCCGAGCCTGCCGAAGTCGGGCTCCGTGTCTCCTCCTCCTCTTCCTCCTCCCCCTCCCGCCGCGAGCAATCGAGCGGGCGGGCGGGGGGACTCTGACGGGCGGGTCGGGCGGGCGGGCGGGGGCAGACGGCGAGGAGGGGGGATGGAAGGGAGGGCGGGGAGGGCGGAGGGTCGAGGGCAGGGAGGGGTGGAGCCTGGAGTCTCTCTCTCC